CTTCAATATCTCCAGCGATGTGAGACAAGGATGCCCGTTGTCACCTTTCCTCTTCAACTTCGCTATTGACGAAGTCATGGAGATTGCATTTACAGGACACGATTTAGGTGTGCAGCTACTCCCAGGAGAACGACTTCTTGACTTGGAGTATGCAGACGACATTGCCCTCATCTGTGACAGCTCCCAGACGTGCCAAGCTGCACTAGACAGGCTAGTACCGACTGTCAGCCGCTTCGGGCTTTGCTTTGCACCATCGAAGTGCAAAGCTTTCCTCCAAGATTGGCAGGGATCACCTCCTGCGCTGACCCTTGGTGAGGATCAGCTAGAAGTCGTTCAGAAATTCAACTACCTGGGAAGTTGTATCAGCGTCCTTGGGATTGAAGATGAGATCACGAACCGTATATCAAAAGCTCGAAGTGCTTTTGCTAGTCTTCGCCACCTATGGCGGCGGCGCGACATCACTCTCGCCCTGAAGGGTAGAGTGTACAATGCAGCGATACGGTTGCGAAATCTGGCCCCTTGGATCAGCGGACAAAAAGAGGCTAGTTACGTTCGACCATCGGTGCTTTTGCCGTTTGGCTCACATCTGGTGGGAACACTGCGTGGGCAACGAGCATGTTCGACGCCTTGTTTACGGCACAGGATAAGCGACTGAACCGCTCAGCACCATCATTTCACGCACCAGGCTCCGATGGCTCGGTCATGTGATGCACATGCCAGCCCATCGGCTTCCGCGACGTGCGTTTTTTGCTCATCGGGGGTGTGGATGGAAGAAGAGGAGGGGTGGCCAAGCAATGACTTGGCCGAGAGAAATGAAGACCGTCACTTCGAAGGTGACCTCGGTTGGATCTTCACGGCTCCGTGGTTGGGGTCCGAAAGACGATGAACGCGTTTGGTTGGATACACTTGTCAATATGGTTAGGAGCCGACCTCAGTGGCGTTCCTGTTGTGAGTTTCTTTGTCCCTCCCCATCCCTTTTAGCCTCCCCTCCAACCACGATCTCATTTCGTAGAGTAATATAATTTTACATAATAATTTTTCTTGTTGCCTAGTAGCCGGCTGGTAGCTTTCCGGAACGATGCCCATCCGTTGCTGGTAGCTCAGCTGGCATGCAACTGTTTTATTTATTTTCTTTTTTTAATGTATTGCGGCACAGTAGCTGTGCTTTACACCTCTAGCTAACGTGTATAATGATGATGATTACTCCTTGTTGATGGTCTACGCAGACCACTTGAGCGATCTTATGAAAGCCCTTGTAAATTTTCACAGCGTTAAGACCGTGTATTTACTATTGCCGTTTGTGCTAAACGAGGAACGGTTACGATTGAACGTCTTAAGGTTACCCACCTGGGACCGGAGTCCGACGAAGACCCCTGTCTATCTTCTAATGTATCGATACAGCATATGATGGAAAAGACACCTACTTCCGATGTCAGTGACTCCAAGGAGCACTCTCATCTGCATCTACCACCTCACCCCTACCTCTTTCCTCCTACCCGGAAGACTCATCATCAGCTACTCTCTGACTTTGCTATCCGACGGAACTTCTAAGCGGACCCTGCATCCAACCGAACATCACAAGCGGACTAGGTCCGGTAGGCGAGTTCCTTGGCTAGCGAGTTTAAGTGACTAATTTTTCTCCCACATTTCCCGCTTCCCTTTTCCTTTTGGCCAACCCCTCATGAAAACCAGAAAAAGCCTTTGAAAACGCCAAAAAGGCGACAAAATTTTTTTGGAAACAAAAACCCAAAACGTTTTAAAACCAAAAGAGGGAAGAAACTGTTTTGAAAACACACACATAAGAGGGTTGCGTCTTGTTTAGCGCCTACCTCATTATTACTTTTTCCCGCGCCATCACAGTCAGTGCCCCTATTTCTGTTTACCTTACATGTATGAACCGGAGAAGATAATGAGCTTGAAGCGAACATTTGACGCTCACGAACTCCCCTCCCCTTTTGTTTTGGCACCGTTAGGGAGGACATGGATGGGAACCCGCTAGGGTCCGATCACCTGGTTCTCCCCCAACAGCTGCATCAGGTTTCACTGGCTGACCGGCGACGGACAGTCTTCACGTAGATGGATGGGTCGCTGACGTTTTCCCTTCTAGGAAGAGGGCTGGGTAATGACCTGGAGATTCCCCATATGGCTGTAAATTATTCTAAAATTATAGTTTTCTTATGTTTTAGGGAATTGGGCGGTTTGCCTGTCGGAACATTGTTCCTATTTGTTTAGAGCACAAATGCTACATCCGTCCTTGAACCCTACGCGAAACTTCGGGAACTGGACTGACTCGCCCACGCACTCGACGCACGGCTACATTTCCCTAGCTGGCTATCTCCTCGTGCATTATCTTTTAGCATTAGCTAGCTTTCCCCCTCCCGCTCAATAAATCTTTTTCCTAGCTTAATTTTGTGTGTTCTACGGACAACCTTGGTCTGGGTGTCTAGCCTCGTACCAGATATATAACTCGCGATACCCCACGCTATAACATCATGATTCGTCAGTAGGCGTGTTGCTACCCGGTTGCTCAACAGCACGCTACTAGGACACAATGTTCCACTAGAATGTAGCAAGGGAACGAGTCACATCCGCCACGTCGCAGTTTCGTTAAACGGGAATTTGTGACCTTTTGTAGAGGGAACGCTTGCCAGGCGAAAGTCAACCACGTGCTGGAACACTACCGTTAATCCATTCACTGGAACGGGATAATCCCAAAGCACTCGGCTGGCACCACGAGAAGGTTGCTCGGCTGGCAAGCACACACAGATTCTCGCACAGCCATGTCTGAATCATTGTAGTTAAGGCAGAATGGGTCGCAGTCCCAGCTACCGTTCCGCTGTATGTGAAGGTTTGCAACTTAATCAGTTTGCGAGGGGATTGTTAGTAACAAAAGTCGCGTCTCACTTACCCTGTTGTTTGAACCTTGAACTAGCATACCTTTTGGTTGATTTGCCACTTCACTGAATGCTTACACAGTGATATGCGGGAGAGAGTGCAGCTGAGTGTACAAACCCCCAATGACTTCGATGTTGTCTGGCGTGAAGCAAGGCTGTGTCCTAGCCCCTGCTCTGTTTAATATTTATCTAAATGCTATGATGTGTGGTTTTAATGCTCACGCTTACGGTCTTCGTGTTGAGCACCGGATTGCTGAACAATTGCCGTCTCGAGGCGAGAATCTGAGTATGTGAGACAACTATCCGGATGTTGATGTTTGCCGACGACTGCGCGTGGTGTACGCACAGCGCATGATGATGGCTCTCGATTCCACTGCGGCCTAATTCGGACTCACCATCAACACAAACAAGACTTTTTTTGTAATATTCAGCATTCATCAGAAATGGTATCCGTGGGCTTGAGACAGATACAGGTTGGTGATGATATCTTGGAGACTACATCGAAATTTTGCTACCTGAGAAGCGTACTTTTTACCGATCTTCAGATGACGAGCGTGTTTCGGACTCGCGTATCAAAGATGGCCGCTGCATTTGGCATGCTGGACGGTCGGGTGTGGAACAATCACTGACTGACTGTCTGGACGAAGCTGTCGGTGTACGGGTTGATGGTACTGTCTGCTCTCCTCTACGGCAGCGAAACATGGATGCTATACCGGAAGGACGACCGTTATTTGGAGCTATTTCCTCATCAGTGCTTGCGTTGGCTTCTGCGAATCAGTTGCCGTGACCAAGTTGCAGCTACGGAAGTGGCTTGCCGAGGTAGCATGTATACAGTGAACTGAATACTATCGCTGCGGTACATGATATGGATCGGACATGTTCGGTGTATTCACTCGACGAGGATACCGATACAGCTGCTGCGTGCAGGGAAGAGGAACGTCGCTAGCCCGTAACCACCTTACAGTTGTCTGTATGTGTAGCTGTGCTTTTATAGTGGAATCGCTCGATCGCTATAAACTCACCTTTGTCCCACCTTAGGTAAAAGTCGAAAAAGTATAAACAAATAGACGAAAGAGGTTTGTTTTTAAAATGTGCAATCCCGCTAGTTAAAGACACCACAGAAAAGTTCTAGCTAGGGGAGAGATGGTCGCCCACACAGACCTCGCTGCCGCTCATTGAGGCGGGAAACCGGAAGCGCGCGAAGTGCTGTTCGTCTGGTTGACTCAAACACACTTAATCACCGTTTGAACAGACAAACTTCCTACGTTGCCTAGGTATAAGATGAAACCATGTTTTCTTCAAATTTTAAACATCATACTCTTACAGACACTGGAATATCCAGTTCACTGCACTTTGTTTTCTCACATTTTCAGATGATTGCTGATTGATATTCTCGGCGTGAATGTTGAAGAGGTGCCTACCTGTCTAAAAACCACCACCTCGATTATACTGGCTCCAGAAGACAGTTGGCCTTTGCTGGGGAGACGTGGTGCACGGTCCTCGTGACTTTGTTAGGCTCAAAGATTGGTTCCATACATCTATTATGGAGCGGACTACGTCCCAGGCACCGCCTTGTGTACGTCTGGTTCGCTTGAGTCTCCATTTAGACTGACTGGACTTCTACTGCTGTGCATATTGAAGGAGTGTGGGTCGGCTTTTCTGCTGAAACATTACTTCCATCCGCATGCCTTCTTGTCTTCTTCATTTGGGTTTTCACTGGGTTTTGGTTATGTGGATGGATGGTGGTGCAGTACAAGCCACTTCACAGTTCCCCAGTGGGAACAGATGTCCTGTGGCCTTTCTATGAAGGCCACATGGACAGGCAACTCCGGAAGTGGATGCCGCCCACTATTTAGTGCTTTCTGTAACTCTTTTGGTTGGTTGATTGGGTGGACATTATGTTCTTCCTTATTCCTTGTCTTTTATTGTTTTCACGAGGCTCTGTTTCGTTGTGGTTCATCTTTATCGCTACCACCCGATATTCCTAACGTGCACCTTCTGTTCTCGGGGGCGTTGGCTTGCCGTCTTCTCCACTGAGCACGGAATATTGTTTTTTGTGTTGAATTCTACCTATTACTTCTTCCTCACCTTTTATCCCGTTTGTGTTGCAGTTGTACGGGCGAATACACCGATGATTTTTCCACTTTTATTGCCTCCGAATCGGCTTAGCTGAGGCAGTATGCGTCCTTTCGTGTTGTGTACACTTATCGGGGGTATTTCTCTGCCTGTCGTATTTTCAAAACTCAGCCTTCGAAATGATGAAAAGCAGACCGAGAAGGAATTTAAGCATCCGAATGTTGATTGTGATTTAAGTCCAGGTAAGCTTATCATTTGCTTCTTATCAGGTACTTCAAGTTATTGGGCTGGCGTTGTTTAGTTTTGTTGCTGAATGTGGGGCACTCATTGTTACTCAGTTTGCACTACTCCTAAATATACAATAAAACTCATGAAAGCTGTTTGGAAACCATCTTTAACGTTGATTTGAACATGCCGTTCCTGTTTGTCCATGGTATAGTCCAAGGAGTCTTGTACCTCATCTCAGTCTATCCCTCTGGTTAATTGTCGTCAGGTGTTTTTACTGGATAGTTTTGTTAAATCTGTTGTTCACATCTTCTAGTATTTGTTTAAGCAGCTACGATTGGAATACTTGAGCACCTGTGTGACGTTTGCTGCAAACACCAGAGCTGTTCACATACACCCATCCACAGCCGAAGGTACTGCATGTGTGATGTGGAAGCTTGTCACTACCGTCATCTTTCTACACATTAGTTAGGAATGAGCGACACTTCATCTATTCAACTGCATGCTAGTAAAAGGGAAAGAGCAATGGCAACATTAGTGAAACAGAAGATTTCAATCATATTTTCGGTGCTGCTCTCAACATCACACACGGTCATTTTCATCCTGGTCTTGACTGTTCACTGCAGATAGCCTAGCTGAGAATGGAACCCGATTCGTAGTGGTTGACGGCTTAGCTGTGGTTAGTAAATCAGAGCTCCGCGAGCAGCGTTTGGCACAGCGGTTGAAAGCTTATTACTGGGTGCTTGCGTACTCACCGCTTGTCTAAATTGCGACATGCAGTCCCAATAAAGGCCCGGTTTACCATGAAGCAACCTTTTGCCATTTCGACTGCTGTTGCCATAAGCCCTCTTGTGATCTTTATTTATTTCTCGGACACACCTTTCCTAAAAAAGAGCACATCGATCCCCGGAATCGAAGACACCGTTACGGTACAAAAACGCGACTAGGATGGGTAGTCAATATATCTGGCAGGGATCCACTAAGTACTTATAATGAAGATGTCAATGCAATGCAGAATTCTACGATACTCGGCTTGTTCTTAACGGATTTGGTTTTTGCCGGCACCACTCAATTTGTGAAGAACGATAGAGGCGATAGCGATCAGACTGATACCACTCTGTTTACCGCATTCTGAACTCGAGTCTCTGGTAGATTGGAGCAATAACGGAGCGACACATGTAGGGTAAGACAGTTTCCTGTTTCTACATCTTCCCTAATGAATCGGGCAAATCGTCTACAAGACCTAGTTCCTCGAATTTGTAAAGAGATGGACGAAACCTTTATAGTCCTGCTACCTTATACTTTTTCATCCCTTTGATCTCATGTTTGACTTCCGCAGTAGAGAGTGGATCCGGAGGGACGGCCCGTGGAGCAGGGTGATCGCTAGCTGACAGCAGACCTCCTTAGTTCCTGCCCATTAGACTGCTTTCCAAAAGCCAGTCCAGTGCTCTAAGCTTTTTGGCAGGTTGTGGATAAGCTGTCCATTCTCGTTGCGTGTAGTTCTACCACCACAATGTCTTTTACTACTCGTTCCCCCTTAGCCGACGGAATACCCGATAGTTACCAAGAGCAGCGGTTTTTTTCGTTTCTGATACACGATGAGACCACCCGATTGCACAGTCTCTCTCCAGGCTATCTCACAATTTGCTTTCAGATCTGTCCAAGTTGGCATTTTACGGCGAACATCCAGGACATTCAGAGACTGCGTAGAGACCCATTGCGCGTACTGTCACTCGGATTTGCTGAAGAGCTACTGATGCATACCGCAGCATGGTTTCCTCTTAAGCCGTTTAGGTATTACCAACTGCTCAAGACGAGGCATGAGTGGTTCCAGTCAATAAACCCAGGGAAGTCTGTTGACGTGATCTACATCAATTTGAGCAAGGCCTTCGACAAGGTTACCCATGAAGTCTTTCTTCACATGCTGAGTGTATGGTGTTGGATCACGGTACCAGTGGATCCGCGAGTTTCTCGTCGGACGAAAGTGGAGGGTACAGGTTGATGGCAATCTAACTTGTATCCCTCTACTAGTGGGGTACATTTGCGCTGTACTGGGGCCCACTCTGTTTTTAATTCACATCATTCAGCTATCTCAGGTTCTTCGGTCACTTTGTGCCCTATGTGCCGATGATCTGTAAATTTTGAGAGTGATTAGCACTTCCAACGGTTGCGGCTTACTTCAGCAAGACCTCTATCTCCTCTCCATGTGGTCTTCCGACAGTCCTGCCCTCGCTCAACCCAACAATGTCGGTGTGTGAGCCTGGGGAAGGGTGGTGACGGCCAACCGCTACATCCCACGTCTTCCGTGAAGGACCTAAATGTACTCTCGCGCTGCGATTTGGAGTCCGTAGACAACGCGAACAGGCTGTATCGTAACTGTCCACGCACACTTTGAACGCTCAAACACGGCTTCTGTATTTGGTCTGAAAAGGCTGCCACTCGCGTCTTCCATCAGAGTGCAGCTCACTCGTCTGCTGTCCAATCACCCGAGGCGAGACACAAAATATCGAACGGGTCCAACACACTGCTATCAGGCTATCGAGTATAAACATACGAGGATTGGTGTGAGAAACTGGACTACACATTGTCCTTTTATCGATTACGGACCGATCTCACCGTGGCCCCACGCATATTGCGTCTTAGTGACTTACTCATGTCGAGGCCACTGCTTCACTCCATCTTCTTTGTATTCTGTTTGCCCTACACCCCATTTTCTATCGTCCTTATCTGTTTTTTTGCCTGACGTTGCGAATCGTCGCAACTAGATCCACCGCACCTCTGTATGCGGGCCATAGTTGTTTGACTGAACTGATGATTGGGCAACACCGACACACTTCATTCGTTATGGATAATTCAGTGTGCAATCAACCAAATCAACTTCAGCTTTTATCTCAAGCATCACTATCATATTATGCTTGCGTGTGTAGAGAGTCCTTCCTTCACTTCAGAGCATAATGATATGCTCGATACAATCTTTACCCGGAAACTAATCCCCAAAATAGTACCTTCATTTCATAGCGCTCTGTCGATGCTATGCTGCCATACAGCCGGAAACCATCCTACACAAGTCATGGTTATATAGACACTCATAATGCCATACAGCTGCGGACACACGAAAGTGGTGCGCAAAAATTGCAAGTTAAACCGTTTCACTAGTACACTACGGGAAACCGTCTGGGTTTCACCACCTTTCCCTTCTGGAACGCTAGGCATCCGTGAGCAAATTGAAACACTGAAAATAAAGCTAATACCGCTGAGTATCGCAAGATCTCCACTGTTTTTTTAATGAACTGGGATGCCGGTTGACAGCAACCATTCGGAAGTGTTGAATATAGTGCTAACGCAACCACCGTTGATTAGCTATCGTATTTCATCAGCATTGTAGAAGATACCGGCTGTCCAGTTGTGTTGTCTGTTAACAATCATTGGATCGTTTCAGCCCTTATCCTTGCTGAGTATCGTTTTGTCGATCTTTTGTAGGGTTTCAGAGGACCCGGTGATCAATAAAGACACCACTGGCCGGTTGAAGTTTTCCTTGATATGTTCTGCTCACCCATTGCTTTTCGATTTCTCTAACTGCGCGTTGCTCACTATATGTACACCAGTATCAAAGCGTTCTGTCATATGCGTTCCCACTGTGTCACTTGGTGCCCCCAGCTACTTCATAGCTCTCTTCCTCATGATTTCAACGAGTTACGTACATGCGAGGTCATTTTATCTCACCGTCCACCAACCAATACTATCAAATGGAACTGATACGCTATATATTGTTGATAGTTCGGCAACTGAGGCGACTTTCGATTGAAATCACATGCATCGCGCACTGATGAAGCCCCTAGCGTCTGGTTATCCGCCCAGTTCTTGTCATGCAGACGACGGAGAAGTTTGTGAATGCTTTGTTAATTTGATTCGTGCACATATTTCTCCTTAATCACTTTTGAAGTATAAGCAACAGATGCCAAAAATCCTCGGAATGAAAGTCGTCAGTGCGAGAACATTTCAATCATTGCCCAACCATCAGCTTTTACATCTTCTTATGCATTTTGAGAACCAGTTCAGCAGGTATGCAGTGCCCCCATCATTTCTTGAATCAGTTGAGCCTAGTCTGAGTATTGACATATCACGTTCTTAATTCGAAAATATCTCGAATGAGCTTGAGCTGTGACATCACAATCTCATCGTTGGATATAATAATTTACTAACGTCCATACAATGCGGTACCGGTCGTGTTTTTGTTACTGGCCATGCATACACACCTTCCTTAGTGTTTATCCTCGGGGTTAGTAGCGCAGGACGTTACCGTCGTTCATTCTCACTGAGCACACTTTCGGCATGGGAATCACCCGACCCACTTAGTGTTTTCTGAAAGGCACTATAAGCTCCTGGGCGGAGCTTCCATTACCAACTTACCACTACCTAATACTGCTCGATGATCTTTTCGTAGTAAGCATATGCTGATTGAATTACCTGATGTGTAGTTTGGCAGTGTCTAGGCTATTTAATTACCTTGGTCTCGTCGTTACAATGACGAGCCGCAGATAGCTGGTTGTTTACTGTTGAGGATCGTGCTTGCACGAGTCTTGTTGTAGTGTTTCTACCTCTCATGTGTTGGATTTTCTGAAGTTAGTTCATATTTTCTGCTTTTCATATCAAGCACAGCTACCAGTCACCAAATTCTCCACTTCTAACCCCCATCCCTATCGGAGGACGTTGATTTTCATTCGTCATGGGCAATACAACGTGAAGGGACGCACACCGGATGAGAAGACCCTTACGAGCCTTGGGTGGATGCAAGCGTACGCCGCCGGACGTCGCTTGAAGCGCTTAGGGATCAGGTGGTTTATTTGCTACCGTTTCCGTGTGCAGTGGGATTTCATTTGATAACGCATACCTCTGATCTCAGTTAGAAATTGTATTTCACACATTTGCTCTTGTACCCCAATACGCTGCTTACATTGGTCTGAATTGACAGCCGCATCCATTCCTAGACCTTTTGGCGTACTCGCTGTATATTTTCAATGGCCATATGCTTCTATCCGTATTTACTCGACCTATCTGGAATTGAGACATATTTGGTTATTGGATCCTAGTCCAGCTCGGTTCGGCTGACCAGCCGTGCTCCGAGCACCGAACTGCGATGCATCCATTCACCATGATTCACATCACTATACAAACAATAATCTTAAGAGCTATAAAACTGCTAGTTGGAAGAAAAATAAGGAACTCAGAAAAAGTGTACTTTGTCCCAAAATTGTCACTTGCAAAGGTTGAGGGTCGGTAGCAAAAAGACAATTACAATGGCTCCAATGTATCCTTAACTTCCTCATATCATCTAGGGCTTTGGACCTTAAGCGATGCAGATACTGGGTTCCCATCCAATGCAACAGTATGCAGCAACCCGTTTTTTTTGTTCACAATTCCACCATATGATGGACTGACTATGTCAGGGTTTCTTTCAGCCAGTTGCAAGATTAGTGGGTGGTACTTACCTAGATAGGCTGTTTGCGGGAGTTCGATGAACATGTCCTAACGAGTTGTTAACGTTTCCCATAGGCACTCCGTGGCGTGGTATCAAATATATCCGCACTACTTCACAAGTGTCGGTGTTCAAAATCTCCTAGGGTCTTCGCTGTGCCATACACTTGTTTATGGCTCTTGCTGAGACTGTGGGGCATTTCGGCATTGTAAACTTTACCAAGATATTCCTATATCCTTTTGTCTCTTCAGCTCATCTAACAGACGACTTGCAACAAATTTCCACAGTTCCCAGAGTGTGCCATTTCCTTTAAACGCACACAAGACCGGGCTGACATAGTGAATTAGTGCTTATCAGACATGGGACCCAATGGTAGAATTTACCCACCGCACGTTTTGTGACGCCACATCGGTTACCAGCGGTATGCGCTCTATTGGAGTAATGCTAGCTAAATGTACATTGTGTTTCTCTATGCTATGTAGAAAGCGTGCGGTTCGACTTCCAGCTCGAGTCATTGTCGAAAAGCCGCAAATGAGGGCGAGTTACCATTATATTGCTCCTTCCCATACCATCACCAACTGTATCGCCAAACCGTCAAGACCGAATTCTGCCAACCTACTTCTATTCCACTTCGAATGACTGGAATTACTTTTATCTTAATCGCTGCAAGTGATACAACTGACTAGATTGGCCATTTACCGGAGCTCGAACACCATGTTGAAACTCACTTCAGAATGCTCGCTTGTCTTGTTGATATTGTTGACCACTTTTTCATTTGTACACCCATCATAATCACCTATGCAACGGTGCTGCTTTCTAGCACGTGTGTTAGCATCTAGTTACCTAACTGCCAACCGATCGACGCTTTCGCGGATTTATGCGGTTCATATTACCATGAGGCGTAGACGAGGGGCCCTGTTGAAAGGCCGCTGAGTAGTTTAGAGCACGCTGGTTTGTGACCGCTTAACGCTCACTCTTTTGGCTTCGAATGTGCTTGTCAGCTGTACTATTACGCCGCGAAGAATCCATATACGTCTGAATTAAGACCTCAGCTGTTACTGCTAAGCGAAGTGGACGAAGCGAATGCTAGTTGGAATCGTCTACAATGCCCGATGCGAACTGTACCTGAGGTCGTTCGTCTATCTTAGTCGAGACGCCTGACTAGTGGACGGTTCTCGGAAGCTTCGGTAACTCTAACTGAGACACAGAAGATGGTTTCCTTTGAAAATCTGTTTTGGTGTGTCTGAGATCTTTTGGAAGACCATGGACGTTTATGACTCTCAAGTCAGAGAAGGCCAGAACCGTCGGATGCTGGAATGCTGCCGCTAGTTCTCTTGCACACTTGCCAAAGGAAGTCTTCCGTAGTTGTATCAGTAGCTGCGAAAGTTGGACAGCCTGTTTATGCTGTGACATATCACTTCAAACGTTTGTTCAATCACTTTTGAAGAAAAGCTTCGCTTATCTTTGTATCAGGATTGCACACTGAGCTAGTTTAAGCCTCCCATGATATTGTGCTATGATCTACCACGGCCGAAAAGCACTCATGTAGTGCAAGCGAACTCAGTGCATCAGTTTAAACGATTGTTGGATGTGCATTTCTCAAATATTAGATCCTCTTAACAATTATCCAGATATCTCACATTCTTGAATCCTATTCTACGGTCGTTTAAATGATTTTTTAACTCTATCACGTTGTAGTGACCTGGAGATTCCCCATATGACTGTGTGAATTATTCTAAAATATTCTAAAAATATAATTTTTATTATGTATTAAGGAATCAAGCAGTTTGCTTGCCGGAACTTTGTCCCCGTTTGTTTGAAACACACGATATCCGCCTTTGGCACGCGCGACTCGACTGCGAACGACGTCTCGTCCACGCACTCGACGCTCAACCACATCCTCTCTAAGTACCGCTGCTCTGGTGCCCTATTTTTGGTCTTAGTTAGCTCTTCTCCCGTTCAATAATCCTTTTTCCTAGGTTATTTTCGTGTGTTTTCCCATACTCTAACGGTTGGTCGTTTAGTCATGTACCGGCTATATAACGCGCGATCGACGCGCTATAATTGGTGGCCCCGGGAAAAGTTTTGTTAGTTTATTACTAATATTTCTTTTCAGGTCCGGTAACTTATTCCGTCTACCCTACTTATTTTACTTTTTGCTATTTGGGTTCACTTTCGCTGGCTCCGTATTTTTTCGCCATGTTGGTCTTTTACCAAGATTCGGACGATCAGGTTAGTGGCTTCAGTCTCCCTATCCCGCTTTTCCGAGAGACTAATCCTAAGTCCTGGTTTACTCAGCCAGCATCCCTTTTTTCGGTACGTGGCGTCAGATCTCATAGTGTCAAATTTCACTGCATTGTCGCAGCGCTTCCTCTGTAAGTCGTAAGTCGCTTTACACAGCTTAACGAAAACGAGCTAGGTGATCGAAAACCTTCTTAGCTCCTGCACAGGTTGAAGACTCTAGCTAAGCCTCTTTCTGTTGGCCACTCTTTTCTTAAAGGGATGTGGATTCGTCGCCTGCCACGTGACATGCGTAGCACCTTGCATGCAAATGATGCGCGTCTTTCTCAGCTCGCCGACATTGCCGACCGTATTTGGGAATTCAACGCCCGAATTCCTCAGGTTCAGTCTACTTCCAGTACGGAGGTAGCAAAACTAAGAGCACAAGTAGCGGCACTTACCAATTGACTAGAGAACCTAACACAGTCCGGATCCAACCGCCAAAATCGTCCCAGTACGCGCACTCGTCCTAGATTATGTTCGGAATCTCCCCATAAGTCAACCTATTGTTGGTACCACGAGTGATTTGGTCATCAGGCCAGATTGTGTCGACCGCCCTGTTCCTTCAAGCGCAACACGCAGGGAAACGGGCCGGCCAGCACGTAGGGGTGACGGATGTTACTATCTACCGCAATCGCCTTTTCTTCGTCACCGATCACAGTAGGGGAGTACGCTATCTCGTTGACACCGGCGCAGAAGTCAGCGTTATTCCACGTGATTCCAATGCTGTTATTGAAGAGGCTACTAGTTCATTGCGCGCAGCAAACGGCATCACCATTCGTGTGTATGGTCAACGCTCGCGCACCCTCACTTTAAACCTACGACGTTCTTTTAACTGGATCTTTCTCGTCGCGGATGTCCAGACGCCAACTTTTGGCCTTGACTTTTGCAGCACTTCGATTTGCTTGTTGACGCGAAGCAACGCTGTCTGATCGATTGTCAAGCAAATCTGGCAGTTATAAGTACTTTGACCGACATTGACTCAATCAGTCCTGTATACGTCAACCAATTGAGCTCACCTATCGGTCACTTGCTTAATACCAAGTTCCCGCAAGTCTTCCGTGCAATGGCACCGTTGCCATCCGCCACTGATGCTGCAAAACATCACATCGTTACCAAAGGTCCGCCTCTTTTCGCCAAATCCATGCGAATGACCACTGGCAAGCTAAAAATTGCTCGCGCAGAATTCGAGCACATGCTTGAACTAGGCATTGTTCGCCCGTCTAAAACTCCGTGGGCGTCGCCGCTCCACATAGTGCCCAAGAAGTCAAGAGAGTGGCGTCCATGTGGTGATTACCGCGCGCTCACTAACGTTACTGTTCCCGACCGCTATCCTATTCCTCACATTCAGGACATCACGCCAAACCTGCGCGGTACCCGTGTGTTCTTGAAAATCGATCTGGTTCGAGCTTATCACCAGATTCCATTCACTGAGGAAGATATACCGAAGCCTGCCGTAATCACGCCGTTTGGACCCTTCGAATTTTTGCGTATGTCCTTCGGTCTTCGCAACGCAGCCCAGACTTTTCAACGATTCATCGATTCAGTCACTAGAGGTCTAGATTTCGTCTGTTCATACATCAACGATATCCTAGTGGCAAGCGCTTCTAAAGAACGACACGCAGTACATCTCAAGATTCTTTTCGATAGGCTGGCCGTTAATAGCATCACTGCCAACGCTTGCAAATGCGTATTTCAGCAACCTTCCGTCGAATTTCTTGGCCACCATATTGATCAGTATGGCATACGGCCTCTAGCCGATGAAGTCCCTGCCATCTGAGACTTTCCGGTCCCGACTACGTTATCCGCTATTCACCGTTTCAGCGGCATGTTCAATTTTTGTCGACGTTTTTTTCTACTTCGTGGACGCAAAACGGTCTGGTAGAACTGACTGCTGCTGCTGCCGAAGCCTTCAAGGCTAGCAAAGAGGCCTTAGCCAAAGCCGTTATACTTCATCATTACGATCCGAACGCTCCGCTCAGTGTTGCTGTTGACGCATCGGACACCGCCATTGGCGCCGTCTTACAGCAACATACAAATGGATGCTGAAAACCTCTTCCTTTCTACTCTGGACGCCTACAACCTGTCCAAGTCAAGTACAGCACGTTCAGTCGCGAACTTCTAACCGTTTACTCTACCCTTCGACATTTCCGACACCTTCTTGAAAGTAACACCTTCATTATCTTCACCGATCACAAGCCGCTTATCTACGCATTCTGAAATCAATCAGCTCGACACCCACCACATGAGATTCGTCAGCTGGATTTCATTGCCCAATTCTCGACTGATATCCGACACAGTTCTGGTCAACAAAACATCGTCGCTGATGCTCTTTCAAGAGTGTCTGCGATCGGTCCTGCGGCGCAGGCAATCGATTTGTTTGCTATGGCCGCCGCACAATCAAACGACCAGAGTTTTTCGGAACTTCGTGATTTTTCTTTGAAGGTATCCCCACACCCTTTGCCGTCATCTGATGGTACAATTTTATGCGACACATCTAACGGACGATCTCGACCCGTCGTTCCAGAAAATTTTCGCCGTATCGTTTTCGACATCCTCCACAATATCGCCCACCCAGGCATTAAAGCTACTGCTAAGCTTGGGGATGCCAAGCCGGGGATGCAACGGGATCTTACGCGTTTGGCACGCAGCTGTTTGACATGTCAGCAAGCCAATATCCAGCGGCACGTGTCCGCTCCGCTTGGTCGCTTTTCGTCCGTTTCAGCGCGATTTACCCATGTCCATCTTGACGTAGTGGGACCTTTGGCCCCATCCAAAGGAATGGTCTACATTTTGACCATGATCGATCGTTGCACCCGTTGGCCCGAAGCCCTTCCCATCCCTGACATTGCTGCGGAAACCTTAATGCGCGCTTTTTTGGAGTGTTGGGTTGCTTCGCACGGCTGTCCAGCCACAGTGACGACCGACCGCGGTCCGCAATTCGAATCTTCAACCTTTGACAATCCTCTTAAACTCATTGGATGCCGACGCATTCGCACGACCGCCTATCATCCGCAGGAGAACAGCATGGTGAAACGTTTCCACCGACAATTGGAAGTCTCACTTAGCGCCGCCAATGCGCTGAGTTGCTGCCTATGATCCTTCTTGGGATTCGGTCAGCCCTAAAGGCTGATCTACGTACGTCTAGCGCCGAGTTAGTATATGGACAACCATTACGTTTACATGGCGATTTTTTCTCCCAGAGTTCCCCGTTACGATACGAATTATGCTCGTCAGTTAGCCACGAGCATACGTCACTACAAGCTTCCCGACGTAAATCTTTTGTTCCACAAGACCTGCAGCACTGTCCGTTCGTTTTTTGTCCGCCTCCATGGTCTCCGCAGATCCCTGGAGCGACCTTACGTAGGTGCTTTCAAGGTTCTGAAATGTAAGGACCGCGTGTTTATCTTCGACAGGCACGGTAAACGAGAAGTCGTTACGATTGACCGTCTCAAGGTTGCCCACGTGGAACCTGAGCTCAAGGTAGACCCTTGCTCGTCTTCTGCCGAATCAACCCAGCGTATGATGGAAGACTCGCTTGCTCGCAACATCCTTGACCTCAAGCATCACTCTCCATCCAAGCCTTCCACTTCAGCTCCGTCGCTTCCCATCGAACCAATCGCCACTTCTTCAGTAATTCCTCCAACTTCGCGATCCGATACGACGTTTAAGACGACGCCTTCCTCCGATCCTCACAAGTCGACTAGGTCGGGTTGGCGCGTTCATTGACCAGCGCGATTAAGGGATTAGTGGTCCCTCCACTTTTCCTTTCCCACTTTCCTTTTCTCTTATGACTAACATCGTAGGAAAACCCCAAACAACGACAAAACCTTTTGAAAACGTCAAAAAATCCATAAAGTTCTTGCAGACCCAAAAAGAACGCAAACCGTTTTGAAAACCCAACAAAGAAAAACCTTTGTAAGCACATCAAAGAGTTGCGTTTTCCTTGTCCTCTACCTCGTCCTGTAAGTGTTATTGTTGCTTTTGCCCTCACCACCACTTGTTTCCGTTTATTTTCCAAGTATGGATCGGAGATGATGAGTCTGAAGCGAACATTTAACATTCACGAACTTGCGAACATTTGACGCTTACGAACTTTCCCCCATTTTGTGTTTTCGGCACCTTTAGGGAGGACACGGGTGGCAGCCCGCTAGGGTCCGATCGCTTGGTTCACCCCCAGCAGCTGCATCAAGTTTTACTACCTGATCTCCTAGAAGGCTGGCCCGCGACGGACAGTCATCAAGTAGATCGAAGGGTCACCCACGGTTTCCTTTCTAGAAGGGTCGCTGTGTAGGGACCTGGAGATTCCCCGTATGACTGTGTGAATTATTCTAAAATATTCTAAAAACATAATTTTATTATGTATTAAGGAATCAAGCAGTTTGCTTGCCGGAACTTTGTTCCCGTTTGTTTGAAACACACGATATCCGCCTTTGGCACGCGCGACTCGACTGCGAACGACGTCTCGTCCACGCACTCGACGCTCAACCACATCCTCTCTAAGTACCGCTGCTCTGGTGCCCTATTTTTGGTCTTAGCTAGCTCTTCTTCCGTTCAATAAATCTTTTCCCTAGCTTATTTTCATGTGTTCTCCCGTACTCTAACGGTTGGTCGTTTAGTCATGTACCGGCTATATAACGCGCGATCGACGCGCTATAACGTGAAAAACGCTCAGAGTATCGACAAGTCGTACTTTGCTTTTGTATTCTTTTTGATAATGTTTCGATGGAGTGGTACAGATTCAAATTTCTACTTGCTTCCACAATCAAATTTCAGTGTTCACACTAGTTAATGTTACTGAAGCTCTTGACTGTGACTATATACAGCCGTCGTCGGTGTGAAGTTGTGGCGATCAGGTTACTCTATTCGGCATTATATTCGGGGCCAAGAAGGAATATTGTTATCTGACTGGTGGTTAACTGAACCGTTTTTTAAGAAGGGACATTGATTGTCTTGTATTAGTCTTGTTTCAGCTGTCCTCAAAGTACTGGCACGTAGCAAACCTTGACGGCTTTATATCTCCGTTGTGAACTTCAAGTTTGCTTCCACAAGGCCAAAGCGTTTGTTGATCACATATTTGTTTGCAATTCACGATACTAGCAAATCGCTTACCATGGTATTTTCTTCCTTGTCATGGCAGCTGCTCCTATTCCTGTCCGTCTCACTTTTCTGTGACGATAACTAACTTCGCATCGCATGCCCAAAAATTTTCTTTCCTTCTGAGTTCTCTAAACCACGATCCATTGGTTGTTTACGGATCTGCGGGCAGCTGTCTTCTGGACTACATTAGGATTACTTTGTGACCGAAATGTTGACTAACTTGTTAGTGCCTTATACTTTTGGTGACCTGCTGTCAAACTTAGAGTGGTGAACTACGTAGCTCTTGTATCTGAACCAGGTACTAAGAAAGTGTTGTTTACCAAGCCTGTATCTTTGCTGCAGCATATTGTTTGCACCATCCAAGTGTAAAGCACTTTTATAATAATGGGTTAACATTCCACGGGTTTTGACTGTCGTGGGCCAGCTGCTCAAAGTGGGCGGTTGATTCACTTACCTGAATAGCTGCCTCAACTTTAGGGACCGAATCACCGGAGGAGTTAATGCAATCATTACTTACGCTCCTATGACTCATCAATGATTCATCCACTTTGCGGTATCAATGTATCCATCAAGGAAGCGTTTTCCAAGCCTGCAACGGGCCATCATCGCTGTGTGCTGAGAAAATTAATACACTGTTCCCGGAGCAATGTTGCCCACATCTCTTCGGAGCACCGAAGTTTTTCACTTGATATTTGGCAACCGACCCTCTGGTTCTTCACTGGCACGCATGTTTATTTCCAACCTCCGACATCTGTTCTTTTATGCCCTTCAGGCGTTTGCTCGTCCCTTTTTCCTACCTTTATTGTTTGCTGATGCTATATAGTTGGATGAAATATTCAACTAACCAAAAGCAAAAAGTGCGCAACATTTAACGGGGTTTGCGACAGTTCTCTTCCTTTTTGGGGACCTCGGGATGCGACATGTTTTTATGCACTATCGGATATAATGCTGTCACGAAGTCAGCAACGTTTCTGTTTTGATTCAATTATTTCCTATTGTTAGCTGCTCCATCTCACTATTTGAGTATTTTGTCACCTTGTTTTTACTCATTATCGCCAACACTATTGTTATTATTAATATTATTATTATTGCACTCAGATGTACGTATTCTAGTGGACCAGCTGAACTAAAGCAATGTTTAATATCGTGTAGTCTGCCCATTTTTATTATATATTGTAAGAAACGCAAGCGGTACGCTTAAAGCGAACAATTGTTTTGTGCATTTAAAATTTTTATTCAATCAATACTTACTCTCTGTTTTCCCGAGCGAACATTTTTTCTCAGCGTATATTTCTGTACCAAGCCTGATGATGAATAAAGCGAAACAATTGTTCGCTTTAAGCTTACCGCTTGCGTTTCTTCTTACAATATATTAAGCAATGTTACCACTTGCTTTTGTGTCTGAGACTCATTGCGGTCACATCAGCCTTACTGATGCTTGATTTCATCTCTTCGGCGATCCGCTCGCCGGTTGTGACATCATAAACTTTTATGTTTCTCTGGGCATGACCAATATGGCCTTTGCTTATCTTGAATTAAATTCGATATAGTCATGTGTACGTGCGTCTCCTTTTGTCCTTCATCCGCCTGTATGCACTGGGAACCTGTTTGCCATACGACTGACTTAAAATACTTAAAAGGCAAAGATGCATCTCACCTAACACCCGTCCGGTTGGTTTTACCGTCGCTCACAGAATCGATCGTCTTATTCACTCAGATATGATCCGTGCTCGTCAATCTGCGGCGGCCCTTTTGGTCGGATGGTGTGGTGAATCGGAGCTGTTCCTCGACACGCCTCTTCTGACTAACTTGGCTTCTCCGACCCAATCATATCTGAGTGGAGATTATTCTCTCCAGAAGCCAGCCTCACTGCCTGAAACGGCCAAAATACCCGATGAATCTCTTGAGCATTCCGCTTTTCTAACTGATCCATACAAGCCATATCCCGGCGCGGATTTCGTTTGTCAGGAGTCTAGTTTCCTCTCAGAAGGTGCACCTCTTTTCCCTCCGGAACCACCTAACCGTAAGTCATCTGACAAATACTATCATTCCTGGATCAGGTTTTCGGTCCAGTGCTTAGCAAAATGCTTCATATGCCAAAGTTTTTTTCAGTTGCATCCGGTGAATTGACACTAGTGGTAACTTATCTCTTTCTCTTCTTCACAGGATCGTCAGTTTCTCCATCAACGCGGAAGCTGGAAGGTGCTCGTATTGAACAAGGTTTTCGCATCCACGTTGGTTGTCGTTTAGCGCCAAATCCTGCAACCCAATCCTCGGTAGTGCCGCTTCTGACCTGTAATCCTTTATCCACTCCTGATCCGCGTGGAGCCGACTCCACAGAGACAGTTGTCTTTGTGGGACATGCCAACGTTTTCCGATTCTGGCTATGTCGCGCTTTGAGACTACCGCCAGAGGCGTGGCTTCGGTTCCAGTTGCAACACGGAAGTATCAGCACCATTGATATTTACTGCCCCTCCGGTGCCGGTCAGGCTGATTGCACTGTGTTGGCCGGACGCATCGGTGAGACAGGTCACTTGCCAAAATGGATGCTGTCTCGTTGACTATCTCTTTCCTATTTTGTGCCACGTCCTAGTTTTCCGAATTTATGTTACCGTTTTTTTGTTTCGTATCTTTGTTTTTTGTACAGTCATGCATTTTCAACCCTTCCTGCGTGCACAGCTTGTACACCAAAATGCGCCTGGTCTGTCTCTCATGACTTTGACATCACCTCCTGTTCCGCAACCATTATTTCTGTACATCTAATAGCCTAATCAAAACAGATGGGGACTGGTTTTTGCGTTTTCAAGCAAGCATCATATTGTGTCTTCTGTTAACTACGTAATGCCGTTGAGCACGATCCTCAAACTTCTAATCCCAGTAGCCCCGGTGTTGTGGAAGCAGCTACCGAAACGGCACATGCAATCTGGAAACTTAAAGCATTTATGGCTTGACACAATAATAATAATAATACGTATATTTCTTTTGATGAGAGAAACTGTGTCTATAGCGGCACAGATCAATTTGTACAGAAGAATCCATGCTCTTGCATGGGTGACATGCATAGTTGGAGTATTGGGATATGCGTTTCATGTATTAACATTCTGGCGGATGGTTGTGGCCAAAGCCTAGTTATGAAAACCTTGGTGATTATATGTTTTTGGACCCTTTTTGGAATAGCTCATCGATGAATATTTCCCATGTGAATATAGAGCTTAGGGTAGTTAGATCAAGGTAATTGGCGAGTCTGCCACTAAATGTTGCCACATTGTCACATGACCTGAGTATTATTGGTAGTTTATTCCACAGGTAGTTGTATCTGACCAGGAAGAAATTAGAGTGGACGTTCGTTCTAGCCTTCGGTATATTCAATGTAAAATCTTTGTTGCGAAGCGCTCAAGTTGAGCAATGTTGTAAATTGAGTGTAGGCAGGTTGGAATAGGTCTTTTTGTGTGTCATGTTGAAACGCAGCAACAAGTTGTGCTTCAATCGTCGAATCCAAAGTGGTTCGAGATGAAGTTCATTGCAACGTTCTCGATAACTCATAGCAGAGGGTTTACCTATCAGATGTTTGGTAAATGACCTCTGCAGGTTCTCCACAGCGATTCTGTCACTCACATATTTCCGTATATTATGCTGCAGTATTCGAGGATGGGGCGAGTGAGTAGCTTGAAAAGCTCAACTCTAACACGACTTGTGTGTATTTTGTTTGAGATATTGAACATAAATTGTCTGGCACGTGCTACTTGGTATTGGGCTTGTTCGGGGAAATTAATGGTAGAGGAGTACCTAATGCCAAGATCTCACGTGGACAACTGTGTAGGGACGCGTTCATTGTTTAGGGTGATAGATCCTTCGGGGATGCAGCAGCCGTAAGACATGATGCTTGATTTCTTAACCGAGAGGTTCATCACCCATGTGCAGCACATTGCTCCTTGATAAGGTTGGTCATGTGCCAAAGTGACAGTTTAGAACCGCTTTAGTCATTGAAATAGTTCTGTGCGTTTGATGATGATAGGAGATTGGTGCTTCACAGCATTCTACCTACTTATCGACACTGATGCTCCCGTATCTGACTCTATCCGTACCTTCTACTCTTATAAACCTCCATAATGTATGGCGCTGAATTTAGATTGGACACGGTATTCAACCGTATCGAACGTTACTGGTTAGTTCTCTTTACAGCAATTCACCGATTTGATTGGTTTTGCTCGTGGTTTATGCAATCCCGGATGGAGCTTGGGTGGCCGGCATACTCGTGCCAAATTACCCACCTTCCCCTAACTTTGGCACACTGCTTTTGGTCTCGACCTTCAGATGCGCGTTTGTACTGATCACCACAGCTGTAGCATGCAAATGGTTTTACGTCCGCGGACGTCTTTGTTATCTGTGTCGTCTTTTTCACTAGCTGTACACTTCCGGATGGAGCTTGTAGTGTGAATGCAGACAGCTGTTGTGTTAAATCCTCTTGATGAGCAACTGAACGAGCATGTTTGTCCCAACTCTTCCGGTCTGCGACGCCAGCTATCAGGCACGCAATCCAACCACACAGCGGGTTCTCCAAGTCCAACTGTGCGAAGCGTTGCTCGCGGATCTTAGTGGCATATTGATCAAGGCGTGAGCCGTGAACCACTAGGCTCTGAGTTCCACCCCAACTCAGACTGTCTCCACCTGATGAGTCCAAACCAGGACGAAACTGCAGTTGTGGTGTGCCAGTGGTAGGAGGAGCAACACCGGAACACTTGGGATTTCTTTTCGCCAACTTGGCCAGCCGTAGCTCAAATAAGTACACACCTTCCCCAACTTGGCACATTGTTTTTGGTGTCGACATTCAGAGGCGCGTTTGTGCTGATCACCACAGCGGTAGCATGCAAACGGTTTTACGTCTGCGGACGTTCTTGTTAGCTGTGGCCTCCATTTCACCAGCGGTACACTTCCGGATGAAGCTTATCGTATAAATGCGAGCACTAGTTAGCTTCTCTCTTTGACGGACAACTGGACAAGCACGTCTGTCCCAACTCTTCTGGTCTGAGAAGCCAGCTATCAGGCGTTGAAGTAACATTGTTTATTTGAACTTCATTGTATCTGCAATTAGGAATAGTCTGGTGTATATGAGCAATGAACGCGTTTACGTTTGTTTGGAGGAAAAGTGCCCGACTGTAACATGTTTTGTCGAATACCCCAGAGGGTACTGAACTTATCCAAGGCCCCCAGCTGTTCCCACAGACGCCGCGGATTTTTAAATTACCATGTGCTGGATACTACTTTTGCTTCGGATTACTGTTTTATAAGTGTATTTTCTGTGTGCATTGTGGACCAATATTATTTTTTGGCGTATTTTCCAATCGGTGCAAATTTGGTGGCTAATTCCTGAGATCTCATTAATTGGCCCTACTGCTATGTGTCCGCCATCTTGGATTTGCTCTACTTTGTGATGTCTTCTCAAGCTACTTGTGGTTCGTTTTCGAAAGTTGTGGACATAAGGCTCATGCACTTCGGCTGCGATTTGTTCCCTATTTCGTGCATTGGCTTATCTGTTGACGTGTTTCGAAAATCTCTCGACATCCGACATCGGTTTTTCCAAGTTATATGTGATAAATGTCGCGGTGCAAGACATCAGAATACACAGCGACCGCCAACGACTACGGGAAAACCTCTCTTCCAGACAGAAACAAACCGTTCACCACGTGGGGTCAAACGTCCTCGTGGAAGTACCTCTGTCACTTTACCTTCCCTTGTCACTCCGCGATCTGCACCACCACCAGCGTCTTCGACCCAGTCGAGCCTCAGGTTCAATATTCCCCACCGATGGAAGACTCAGACTCTGAACCTACGAAATGTCGCTTCACTGATCAGTCCGTGAATTTCTCAGAGCTTGTCTGTGACCTTCTGAACACCGAGGATCCATGGACCACTCAAAAGCGAAAGGGGCCACATAATCGAATTCAGGCGTCCCCTGCTAATAAACAACAACCCAAACCGGTAAGCGCCTCTAGTCCTGCTCACACAGGTTCATCACCGATTTCGCTGAGGCGTCATAATCTCATGGTCTTCCACGTACCAGAGTCAAAAGATGAAAATCCTCAGATACGTTATGATCACGATGTTGTGTTCCTCGAGGGGCTCATCGATAAACTCTTGAATGTGGGTGAAGACAGTGTTATGATTAAACAAGTAATCCGACTTGGTCAGAAAACTAATCAGTCATGTCGACCTCTGAGAATCACCTTTGCAAATCACAATATGCCGCAGCTCATACTGTCTCGTCTGTCAAGGCTTGAAGGCATGAAGGTTCACATCCGCCGAGACTTGGAACCCGGAGACAGGGATCGTTTGCGGTCATTGAGTTCAAACGCCGTACATAATGTGAGACTGACTTACAAATTGTAAATTTTTGGGTGTACGAACCCGTATCAACCGGTTGCTCAACCTCCAAACACGCCCTGTGGTACCTCACAGAATGTCCGTGTGGCATTCGCCAACATATGCAGCCTAATGAACAAACGTGACGAACTGTGCCGCTTCGCTGTCTCAGAGCCACCGGACGTTTTCGGACTTGCAAAGACTTTGCTGAACTCCGACGTCATACCCCAAGAAGTCGGGTAGTCAGGATACTCTCGCTTCCGATGCGACCGAAAGTCAAAGGCTTACGGTGGTGTTCTCTTGTACATAAAATCGTCACTATCTGACAAACTTACCAGCACGTATCGGAGCGAGGATAACTTATGCGAGCAATTGTGGTGCACAATCCGCCTCAGACGCGCAGAACTAGTAGTGGGTGTTATCTACCGTAGCCTATTAAACTGTTGTTGCTATTGGCTACCACATATACAGAAGCATATGAGCCGCCCTCACTTCTTACTGATGGGGGATCTAAATTTACCTAAGATATCCTGGCCAGACGTTCGGGTTCTTCCTGGTCATGGCAACGTTGAGGCTCAATTCGCTAAAATGACTATTGAAATCAGGGCAACACAACATGTCATCCAACCGACGTGCGTAACTCCGCACTCGGCATCTTGTCTGGACCTAAGGTTTATGAGCTGCGAGCCGAAGCTGAACGAGATCAGAGTCATCGAATCTCTGGCGAACTGTGACCACTGCTCTATTGTGGCAAGCTTAGAACTGTCCCTATCATATTACAATCAACGGAAGCCGACATTCAACTATTGGAAGACGGACCTCAACGGGTTCCTCCAAGCCGCAAGACAGACTGGTTGGACACTACCTCAGGATGCGGCGATTGAGGCCTGTTGGTCATTAATGAAGGGGAAATTTAACTCACTGTGTACTCGGTTCGTTCTTCCGAAGTATTCAAAATTCGGACTTGTCAAACCGCATTAGTTTGATAATGGAACAATGGATTTATGCGGGTATAAAAGCTAAAGCTTGACAAATCCCGTAGGGTGATCAGTGAGAAAATCATAGAAGTGTGAAAAATTCAATGGAAACCAATTCAGTAAAGTCGTTTAACGACGAGTCACTACAAGCTTGTGGACTCACCGAGTTTGAAGTGTCAAAATAATAATCCACTATAACTCCGGAGGGGATCATGAGGTATGGAGTATTTAGTTAAAAGGGTCACCGCCCCTTGAAATTCGCATGGGGCAAAGTGTTTGAGTTTGAAGCGTCAAAATATAAATCCACTGTTGAAATTTACGTGGGGGGAAATTATTTTTAAAGTATGGATTTTGGATCTCTCAAAAGTAGACTGTACTATGGGAGATAGTGCAATGAAGTGAGTGCACTATCAACTCGATTTTTAAACTCGATCAGGTTGGCTGCACTG